TATACTGACATTTTCCAAAACACAAATGTATTTGACATTTTTTTCTCTGAGAAAATATTCTCGTCAAATTACTTTTGTCACGATAAAGAATCTCTTGATCCAGAAGTAGACTTGTGATATGAAAGAATAGACGAGGGTGCCCTTATCTCTCTTTCTCTCGACAGGCTTTCCTTTCATTCTCCCAGCTCGATATCGTTTTGGGCCAACGTTCCGTTCGGGAAACGCGCAACGACCCAACGACGTCATTCACCAAGTGAGTTTGCTATGCTGGCTTTGTAACGCGGCTCTAATTCGCGGCGGTAACGACCTCGCTGCTGCGCTTGTAACCGGAGTCGGAAATTATACCGACGTTTAGTTTTGCGCCTTAATGAGTGGCGCGCTCTTCGGCAGAGGTGGTCGTTGGACGATGTACTTCGTGGACTTAAGTATCTAACATGAATGATAATGTAAATTGACTCAAGTGCTACATTAAGTTAGAAGATTCCGCTCTCTTTCGTATTTATATTCATTCGACGACGCGTTTATATCTTGCATACAACGTAAAATGCGAATATTCTCAGGAAAATATACACGTTAATCTTTATTCGATTCCCGTTATCTTTGTTCTTATAAATATAAAGAAAAAGACTATTTGACATTTACTCTCTCCTTTAGTTTGTACCGACAAAGTTATCGCAGAAAATGTGTACATTTCTCATCTACCAAAGCGATCATAAAATAATCATTAAAAAATGTCTTTTCCTTGATTTGAAAAGAAAATGTTCGAACAAAAATCTATTTTTTAAGTTTTACGTAACTGTTTGGATTCTATGAAGATAACGTTTGACGTGATGCAGATCATATTTTTCTGATTGTCTTGTTTATTCGAATAGAAATACGATTACATACGAACAATTCGTATAAAATATATAAAGATAGTGGCGAAGTAACAATCAGAAATGAAACAATAACATTTATCCCGTTGACGTAATATGAGAAAAAGTGCCGCTCATTTTTAATTAAAGCCGGCTGCACGTACACGGAGCTGCGGACATCCCGGAAAAGCGAAACGAGAGGAAAAACGAGCACGTCCGACCGAGTGCGAGCATATAGAGAGTCTCGTTTGCCGGTCACGAACGGTATTCTCATGTCGGATGCTATTATAGTAAAGAATAAAAGTGGATGGAAATACCAAGAAACGACGATAGGCACGCGTTGCATGCACTCCGAACCTCCTCGGTATTGCGCAGCGTCATGTTCACTTCCTTCGAGGCTTTCCATCGACGATTGAAAATGTATCGAAGAATACGATGCTCTACAGCAGAAGTACAGTTGCTGGATAGCGATCTTGAATTATTACAATGCCTCGAAATCACGTTCGTACATAAATCAGCCAGATCCTTCGCGCAGAAAACCCGAGAAAAGCTCCGCGAACCAGTTTAACTCTTTTTACTAAAAGCCGTACGATGGTTCTTATCATACGCTTGTTACGTACGAAGAGTAATTTTTAATGTGTTTCTTTATTGCCAATTTATGGTATTATAGTTTGACTGCATTCGGAAACATCGCTCGGATGCCTCCGATGCCTCGGATTCATCTGTCCTTATTTAACATTTAATGTTAAACAAGGGCAGATGATGAATCCGAGGCATCGGAGGCATCCGAGCAACGTTTCCGAACGCAGCTTTTGTATAAATATATTAATAGTGCTCTTATAACAAGCCGTTGTACGTTTTCCATTCTTCGTCCGTCATTGTGAAAATGTTGGACCTAGATGCGTCGATAGATGATATCTGCCGGTCACTGATTTTATCTTCTGGTTGTAGCATTAGATACCTATTGCTTTTTGAGAGATATGTTAGTGTTGTATACTTCGGATATCCTCGCGATGATACTTTTCGTTGAAAACGTCGAATTATAATGACCGCGATTGATGTTCAAACCGCGCGTTAATCCAGTGCTTGTAAAGGGGTAGGATTAACGGATGTGCAGGGTGAGCGCATATACGCGCGAAAACATAATAAAGAGTACGAAGCCGACCGTACTTATATAGATACATCGCGTCCGCTTGGAGAACCTCGATACCGACATTATGCGGCGTACCTCGCGTTTAAGTTGATAAATGAAGGCGGATCGGTGTGTGTCGTCACGCGACCTACTACCACTCCCATGCACTTTTTTCCTGTCAGTAGTTGGGTAACTGACTGATTTTCCGACCAGGAGGAAGAATGGAGAGGTAACCGATCGTGGATGGGAGGCAATGGAGAAAGGATCCACTAAACGTCCACCTCCAGCCGAAGGGCCGAGGATCGCTATCTTTTTTGTCCGGGAAATAAGGGTCTAGAGACAGGGACTTGATTATCCGGTTGACGACGACAGCGACGACAAGAGGCGTTCTTACGCGTGGTCGAGCTATTGTATTACTGATCGTTGAAAACTTTTTTAATCACGTTCTTCCGTTGCGGATACCAGGAACTGCTCGTCTTTTTCGTACTCACGCGCACGCACACGCGCTTTCAGCTCAAGGCGTTTACCCGCACTTTTTTCATTCATTATTCATATTTTCCGCTACCATTTACTCCCGTTCGCGTTCGCTCCAAGTTTTATTAATAGTTACGAACCCGACGTCGTCAACGGTAGCGAAACGCGGTCATACTGAATTATGCGGTGTGCCGAACAAGAAGTCGTTTACGAGTTCCTAAATGTATTTTAAATCGGTCACCGACTATAATAGCTATTTGCGCGCATCCCGATTGGTAGTTGTCAATAAATGAGAAATATCTAAATGTCTTCTCATTTTCGTTGAAAAGATAGAGAGAATCAAAGAATCATATAAAATTCTGCGAGATTGCTTTTTAATAAGATTTTTAAACGGATGATGCATTTCTGTGACGTGTATACGGGAATAATTTCATTAACATAAATTGGTAGATTTTGGCAAGATTTTTTTTTTTAATTCTTTAATAATTTCAAATATATATGTCTAAATGGAAAATGCGAATTTTATCTCAGCATTTCAATACGATTTAAGAATGGGAGGATGAAAGAAAATAATGAGCAATGAATCTTTTCGTAACGACTTTGTTTCGACGAGAAGTAGACAAAGTACCTACAATGTAAGAAACAAATGGGACAGCAATAGCGCGAGCAAGAATTATGAGTTACGCTGAGGGCGTCGCAGAAATTCGATATTATACTCGAAGCTCCCCGTACCACTCGTAAAGACAAATAGAGAGTTGTTGAAAAAAGAAAATTGCGAGAGCTAATTGAATTGAATGTATCTCGTATCTTTCGCGTACACTTGATCGATTAGGACGATGCGTTCTCGTTGCTACTCTCATCGCGTACACCATTCTTGCGCTCACGTGCACGCTATACATATACGGGTTGCATGCATGACCGACTTTTTTTCATTATCTTCTGTCTTCTACGGGAAATGCTCTCCCGAGAAGTAGGAAAATAAATTTACTTGATATCCCGCGATTTGTTTTTTTTTTTCTTTTCCTTTGTCAACACGGATGGATTTGTATTTGTAGGATTGCGTAAACAATGCAAACACATACATGAAGAAAGATTCTGCATATTTGAATTAATTAAGAGGATTTCATTTTAATCCTGTACTGTAAAATATTTTCATCCGACGTTTTGTGCATGCTGTTTTATTTATATTAATTCTGGCAGAAAGAAGTGCGTTTACGAAATTTAATTTGTTTTATATGACAAAGATATGATCGTTAGTCGAAATCTCGAAATCTTGCACACTAAAGGTACCGCGGTGGATTAGTTCTATTAATATTAATATATCTTGAAAAATCCTTTTATGTATATTTATGTTGTCACATAAATATGTTTTGCTTTGTAATATAAAAGATTCTGTTCTTCCTCGAAATTTTGAAACGCATCAAATAACGCGATTGAATTTAATACAAATATCATTATACATGATGAATCTCGCTTTGTCTCTGCACCTTTTGAGGTAACTGTCGGAACAGAAGAGTAATTACTGCTGAATCTCATAACGCGCAATTTCTATTTCGCGTAAGCAAATTGCGCCGCTTTAAACTTAACGACGTTCTTTGATTGTCGAGTAGCGGGATAGTGTTTAGTCGAGACAAATCCAAGAAATAGGTAATCTGAAAATCGCTACTTGTCGTCGATCGATAGTCGCGTGTTGTACAAGTTTTATCGCTCACTAATTGATTTTAAAATGCCATGCGGTAAAAAAAAAACAATAAGAAAAGAGCCAAGACGCGTGATCCGATTACGCGGTAATCGCCTAGGCTCCGCAATACCTTCCGGCGTAGAAATTCGAGATTTCGCCGTTCGCTCTTTAGTGGCCGGAAATGCGGCGTCAATATTGGAACACGAGACTGACTCTGGAGGATCGACAAAAGGTTCCTTGTGCATGCCGCCAAGGAAGAATCGGTGTATCGCGGTATACAGAGGTGCACACTGGTCGTAGTAACCGATGGCCACACAGGCGCGAATTTCGAAGCGTATACTTGGTCAAAGCCGCTACTGTTGCATGGCAACGATTCGTTCTCTCAGATTCTCTCGTCCTCGATGCACTCGCCGCTAGTCTTGTCAGCTGACAATGAGAAAGTCCATGAGTCGGCAGACGTTTCGAGTATATTCGAAATAATCGCGGAGAGAAAAACAAGCACTGGAGACGCGTATCCAGTATCCTCTTCTCCATATTCTCAATCGTTTTTTGCTTGAACACATGTTATACATTTCACTCTTCATTATTTGCGGTGTGTACAAGATGTCCTAGAAGATTCACGTTTTTCTCGAACCAGAAGTATTGGCAGTCGTACCGAAAAGAGAGTCGATTGTTTCGAAGATCTCTAAGTTGTGAACGATTCGGAATTCGATGTTCTTGGACGAAATACAAAATGAGTCAAGTGAAAATTACGTTCCAATGCTTTCAAGAACTTGAAGAGAATTTTAAATTGAGGATCGTTAGAGGATTATCAGAATGTTTAAATGAATTCGATGTGAAAACGCGTGATTTCGGCGACATCTTGAATAATAATTTCAATTGCACTTTATTCAGTTTTATGAATATGGAATTATGCTTTAGTCAACGAATAATGATACTTATCCATGTTTTCGGTCAAATTTATGATTTTATTTATGAATAAGCAACCTATTGTTATAATAAAACCGATTGTTCATCGACGGTTATTACATATAGGAATTTCGTGATTTCTCTTACATGTATTGTATTGTATTATTGTATATTCGCAATTCCGAATCGCGCGCGGTCTCATTGTTAAAAGCATCATCCTGTAGTCGTCGCGCTGCCCTTCCGGACACGTCGTCGTCGCTCGGTTGCATCGACAAACGGCGCGTCGTTGCGAAAGAGTTCATCGTTCCGGTGCACAGTCAAAAGCGTCTCCGTCGGATGCACATCGTCGCACGTATCTCGCTGTGGCTTCCATGACACCTGGGCACTTCCATGTTCGCACAACTCGTGACGGAAATACCTCTCTCTCTCTCTCTTTCTCTCTCTCTCTCTCTTTCATACATTCTCATTCACTCGTTCTTTCGTTCTCTCTCTTTTTCTTCGCTTTCTGGAAAGCGTCTTCTGATTTCTCCCTTCGAAAATGCGCGATGGAATGGAGCAATTAGTAAAGTAGCAGACACAGGCAGAGCAGAAGAGAGTACAGCCTCGGTTGTTTGGCCTGACCGCCGTGCTGCATTGCCGCGGGATACTCTCCTGAAACAGAGTGCAACACTTAAATTTTCTGAAGACTCGCGGCGCTTGGCATTCTCGCTCGCCGTTTTCTATTCTTCTACTCTCCTTTCTTTTCACATTATCTTTTTTGTTGTCCAGCCGAAATGGAATGCAATTTAGCTAATTATTTTCCGTAATTGGCGCGGTTTTTCTCCTTGGTAAAATGCACTCTTCCATTCCAAAAAGAGAATTTATCAATCCTAGATGAGTCACATGACCATCAAACAGTCTTAGAGAGATATTGAATTAATATTTTATATTAAAAGATAAGCTGTATATAAATAGTCATCATAAAATCGTAAAATAGCTTACGTCTATGATGAATTAACGATAATTACAGTATTCACGTTAAAAATTAAAAATTTGCAACAATGTGCAACAATTGCCACAAGATACTAACGAAAAATCACAAATTAGTCAAATAAAAAAAACAGAGATAAAATATTTCTTAATAAATCTGTAGCACCTTATTCACCATAAAATTTAGATAAGATTTCTCAGAAGTTTATGCTTCCAATGTTATTCGATGTTCTGTTTTTAATATACACGATCGTTGTTAATCACGAGCTGACAAGAAGTTGGCGCATCGTCTTTGTATCATCGATTACTCACCGTTGAGTACGTGTACAGTGATCGATTTCGGTTGAGCATTACTGGGGTTACAAGTGTACCGTCCCGAGTCCGACGGCTTCGCTTCTTGCACCAAGAGGAAACTCGTCGTGCTGTCACCCTTCTCCGTGACCACGGAGACGCCGCCTCTGCTCGAGTCGTAGCTGATTATCTAGAACAGAGATCGGGCGATCGTTCTGAAACAAGGTAGCGTCTCTCCGAGTGGATGAGAATTAAATCACAGTGAAGATGGAAGCGAACCGGCTAGCTAATGTCCGATACAATTTTTATTAGGCAGCTCCTGTGAAGACGATAAGCGTGGAGACAAGCTCGTAGAAGGACTCCATTTCGGTTCGCGGAGAGCACGGACGAGGGTAGAAAAAATATCCATATCGTTAAAAGAAATATCCCTCTTTTAATGAAAATTTTTAACGCGTATAAGATTGAAAGAGATTGTAAAGTATATCCCACGACGTTTAGTGATACGAGAGGGGTTTGCCCCGACGTTCGGTGCAAATTACCTCGCCGGCGACTTATGCCCCGAGAATATTTTTCAAGATAAATATTATTCCAGGATCAAATTTTCGATAATGGATCTCAGTTTATTGTTCAGCTTTTTATAATTTTTAATTATTCCCTCGAATTATTGGTAGATGCGTCAATTTTCTTAACAGGGTTCGGTAAAATAACTGATACGACTTATTTGAAATAAAAAATATAAAATAGGTTCCAAGAACTTATTTAAAATATTAAATAAGAAATAGGTCACAAGAAATTATTTAAATTATTAAATAAGAAATAGGTCAGGAAAAGTTATTTAAAATAACAAATACTAAATTACTTTTTAATTTTTTTTATTTAAAATATATATTTTAAATAAATTTATTTGAAATAAGACCGAAGCCTAAAAGTGCTTAGAAAATATTGAAGAAAATGAAAGAATTATTTCTGTAATTCTCTCTTGTTGCAAAAGTAAAACCTGACACATTTTTTATTATGAAAAATAAACTTACACTTTGTTGTTTAACAAAAGGTTAATGTTTCTCGCATGCAAAGAATACTTAGACTGTTAGAATAATCAAAACATTTCACGAATGTTATTTAAGCCTGCACATTTACGCTGGAAAATTGGCTGCAACGTCCAAATGCTCGTAGTGCACTCGTCTCAAGACCCCGACGAACGCGCGTCGTGTTTATCCTATGTCTGTTCCACTTGACAACGCTTGCGAGTGTCGCTTTAACACGAGGTTGGTAGAATCCAACATTCGGTATACGCGAATGAAAGGAATAAAGAGCAGAAAACGTCGCGAGAGCTAAAAAGGATTTTTAAATAAATAATCCGCAGGAACCTTACGACAGTGTACCTTCGTCTGAGAGGTACGTAAGCCTTCTTAAGGGATTGAGAATTGTAGAGCATCCTTGACAACATGTTGGATATTTGCTTCTTGGCTATATTTCGGTATTAAAAAATTCGGACGTCATCAGAATTATCTTGGTAAAAAGAAATGTCAAATGAAAAATCAATAATCATTAATTTAATTTCTCTTGCACGCTGTACTTTCATAGAAATCATTTTTTAATATTTCAAATTTAAAATTTTTTGCTAAAATACGATATCTTCTTTATAATTCAATAAACAAAAGAATTTAAAATTGTTATATTATTAGATAAAGGAGCAATAGATAAATCAATTCCTTAAGTAAAAAATAGCATTTTGTTATTTTTAACTTCCATGTATATCAAAATATAATTCAATCCATTTCTGTGGTTAGTTTTAAAGTAAACAAAGTTCATATTGATGTATGCACTTAATAAATAATAAACTTAAATTTGTGTGAGTCAAATTTAATATATTTTTTAATCAAATTATTAATTCCATTATTTTAGTTAAATTAACGACATATTGAATAATGGCAGTGACAACTTATATAATAGAAATTATTAAAAATAATTTAAATCAGGTATCCTATATCCGTATGAATAACACATTATGTTATGAATAATAGAATTAAAATAATTACATGTCAGTACATGCATTAATTAATGTAGTACAAAAGAATTCTATTAAAGAGTCTCATTGCTTTACCATTATTTACTTCTCGATGCACAGGTTCTGATATTATATTGTACGCTCAGATTTTTTTCATTCAGAAAAAAGAGCAAATCTAAATGATTGCATACAAAGCGTAATTGTTTCATTCTGAGAAGAACAAAATACTTTTTTGAAGTTTCTTTCATTAAGTGTGTAAATATAAGCTGTAAGTACTCGAGAAAATTTAATCTTTCCGGATTGCTGCATTTCCTGCGCGGTATCAAATCCCGAGGATAAGAGTATACAATATCGGTCGCCAAGCTGTTTATCTCCCATCGTTCCATAGTCTCAAAGCGTGCGATTAATCGGACGAAAGTTAGCGGCCGCGCGCCGCGCCACGCCGCCCGCCGCGAGTTTGATAAGCACCGCGGCGCTGCACTGCTTCCTTCCGTTCCGTTATCTAAACCGCGTGTTGCGGTCTAACGCAGAATAATATGCGAAACTTTCGTTGGAAAGTCCATAGTTAATCCGGCCGTATACATATATACGAGGCGCAATAATGCCGGCGTACTCAGACACATGCATTCATGACATGCTCTTCTGCCGCTTACGCTTCTGAGAGCTGAACTTTCCTTATCCTATATGAAACGGGAGCTCGACGTTGGGTTTTTATAATCCGCCGGTAACTCGTAAATTAATGTTTCGAAGGGCGTTCGTCTCTTCAGCTGCTTGTGCTCCTCTATACACAAGCACAAAATTAAACAACACCGACAAAGTTGTTTTCTCAAACTTACGTAACACAAATGTAAACTTACGTTTCAGGAATTCATTAAACTTTTACGATTCATCCGTAGGAAGTTTGTACGTTTTTTGTAACGCAGGTTATGCGAACGATGAACCGAGCATGATCGCTCTTAAATATTTTGTGATATATGAATATATGTGTATTGAATGTTTAATGTGCTGCGTTGCCGTTTTCTATGTTACTCACGTTCACGATACGCGCGAATTATTATTGTAAACGATGTTCTTGTAATTACTCGGGCAAACGATGTGTTTCGAATTGAATTGATTTTTATTTAATTCTACTCGATCATCAGGATGGATAAATAATATCCAATTTTCAGTTCATTAATCGTATAAAGTGCTGACTCTGCATTGACAATTGAATTAAAATAGCGACCAATTACTCACCGATTAACTCTCGTGACTGTAAATCGATTTGAAATAAATGAACGTTACATTTAAACTGAATATTTACATTTTTTGTTCTGTCAGTTACAAAATTTTATTATAATATTCCAACTCTCTTTTACTTTTTTTTTCTCTCTCTCTTTCTCTTTTTCTTTGATAAAAGGCGATTATATTTTATATAATTTTCAATTATTAATACGTGTTAGTGTATTACATAACACAAATTTTTATTATTAAAATTGAATGAAAATTATACATGAAACGAAATTAATACGATAAGAATTCAATTAAGACTAACATTTCTCATCAATATCAAATTAAAAAATGCAAACTTTCTTATTTATTTATTTAAAGAAATTCAAAATGTAAAAAACTCACAATTTGTATAAAAATGTCGTAAGAAATTAAAGACTGCTGGCACAAGACTCATTCAATCTACAAATTCATTGTAAATTTATTTGATATTATCAGCAGTGAGAGAGCTTAGCTTAGTGAGTCAAATAATTTTGTCTTAGAATTTGTAATTTTCTCAAGTTTTAAAGACGCATACGGAAGTTTGCACGAGGGGATAAAGAGGCAAATGAAGATGAGAGAGAGTTTCGTCAACCTCATTACATGTTCTTACTGGAAATTGGCATTCTACAAGATTGCTGGTCGACTTAAACGGAACATCTTGGGCTCAATGGTCCGTTGAAATGGTCCGTTTTCTTCTCTTCCGCTTCTTTACGGTTTAGTACTTTGTCTTATCAGTTTTCGTTCGCGTATTTGATAACGGCGTTCTTTGTTCTACACTTAGTTTACCCTTTTCTTATGTTTGTTCGCACATTTTCTTTCTCTTTTCCTTCCATCATTTATTAAATGTCGTTTCAACTTAGCACTTTAATAGTCTATTTTAGTTCTTATCGCCGATCGTATACCATGTGGTAGAATATTGCAAAACGACAAAATCGACTGCTTTGTCGGATAGCGCAGATTATCGTCGTGTGATTGCTGAAAACGTATTGAAATTATTAACAAAGCGGTTGAATGCACTAGTCATATTACACATGTAGCCGCACATTGCGTAATGTATAAGTTTTTAATGAATTTGCACGAAATATTAATTTGTTAATACATTAATAAATCGATTGACATCGTAGGCAAATTATATGAATTTAAATATACATATATTTCTGCGTATAAAATACAAGTGGATTAAGCAAAATTACAATACGGTGATGTCGTCCGCAGGTATATTGCATAGGTATGGAAAATGAAACGACGCCAATTCGCATACCTATTATCGCAACTGCTGTTTTTGCTTTGGCCATTTTTCGAATTTTTCACTGATTTAACCAACGAGATTTAATGTATTTTGCTTAATTCCTTCTGGTAGTTATCTAGTATATGACTTTCATTTTACATGATGTACACTATAATCAGTTTTGCCTCTCTGAAAATTTCGAATTGTCGAAAATCAAAAGAGAATTAAATCTAATCTTATAATAACTAATTACATACAAGAATTAAATTATGATTTATTAAATATTTATTTCTAGTCCATATTCCTCTTTGCGACATTCATCGTTTCTGTTTATCTCCATGTCGTTCTTATGTCATCATTTGCCATTTCGTTTGCTTTGATAAATTCAACTTTCAATCCAAAGCTCTCTCAGGCGAATTTTCTTCACACCGTTCGGCTGTGCCTCTTGCCGAGAAATAAAGTTGCCAGTTGTTACGTTGAAATCGGCTGTTATTTCAGGATTTCGTTATTCCTCGAGATGGCGAGCATCCAGCTGTATGTCGAGCGCGGCAAAATGTTTCCAAAAAGCGACGTACTGTATTCTACAGTATGGCATCGTGATATCGTTGGTGTATCACCGGGATCCTGACGTGTTTACCGTGAGATATATTCAATACTATATATACATTCGATGTGACACGAGTTTCACTGCTGACCAACCAAA